ATGTGTTAAAATATTTTACAAAAAGATCTACTTATTTCTTTTAAAATATTTTTTTATTTTCATTCAGATATAATTTATATAATTGAATTATTTATTGAATTAATATATTCATTATTCATTTTTTCATAAACAGATTTTTGTATATCTTCATATTTCTTTTTAGAATTTTGACATCTTTTTTTTTTATTTTTTAAAATATTTAATAAAATTGTATCTATATTTGTGTCATTGTACTTAACTACTTCATCTAAATGTTGATGTGTTCAAAATATCTTATTAAATAATTTCTATATACATTTTTCTATATTTTATAGTTTTACATTAAAAATATATTATATATCTCAAGGTGTTACATTCTAGCAAATAATATTTTGATTTTTTTTATTTTGAAATAATAAAATTTCTGGTGTTGTTTTTTGCCAAATTAAAATATAGAGATTTTTATAAACAAAAATTAACATTATTTATTTTCAAATGCAAGTATTTCTATCAAGATTATCCTCAATGCCTAGAATTAATTTTAAATGTGTTGAAAAACTTTAATTTTTTTAAAATTTTTTTTCCACAAATTTAATTTTATTTATATTGTATTATATTCTTCAAGGTTCTACGATTCACAAATGATAAACTAGAATTTTGAAATTATAATTTTTTAGAATAGCATGATTTACTTCTATTTTTAAAATGTATTTTTTATATCCAGTGAAATAGTTTTTTTCTTTGATTAGAATATTGTTAAATATCTGGATATTTCTTAAAAAATTTGAAATTATGAAATTATCAATATTACTTTGTACTCATGTTTAATTTTTAAAACTAAATTTTTAAAATTTTCAATGTGTTAAAATGTTTTCTAAAATTTTCTGTATATTTTTCCTAAAATATTTCATTATTCTGAAATAAATAGTTGTTATATATTTTAAAGATTCATATTCAATAAAATATTTTTTAAATATTTTTTGTTTTTCATAAGAGATTGTGATATATTTTAATACTTATTTTGGAAATTATGATTGTACATTTTTTTAAATGGCATAGTGTAAATTTTTTTTTATTTTCATAGATATTTATCCAAATTTTATTCAGATTTTTCTCAATGTCTACAACTATTCAAGAAATTTTATGTCTTTAACTATTTTATAAAAATATGATGTAGTTCTCTTTTAAAAATTTAGTTTTACATTCAATATACAGCAATTACAGGTTGGGTACAAAAACAATGCAAGCACATCTAGCCTTTTCAATGAAACATGCGCATGGAGACGTAATTACAACTATTGCGTGAATATATATGTGGGCTCTTCATGTTGGGTTTTTCTTATATCAAAAGATCATCGGAGATGTTCACTTCGTATTAAGAGTCCACATGTTGAAAACTACTCGTGGTCCACTGCATTCTAACTTATGCTTGAGACATGAGAATTATTTAGCTAATTGATGCTAAGAGCCTATTGAGATTATGAATAACGAGAGGAACAGTTGAAACTGAGTAAGACCTAAATTCTGTGACCACGAAGAGAGCCAATTTGTTTCTAACCGTTCCAGTGTCGCTGCAACAGCCTAAATAGTAATGTCTGTGCTGCCTGTACCATCTGAGGCGGATCTGAGAGTGTTACGTAATCAGTCGTCCTTGTGCGCTCTCACTACGGTCTCTAATCAGTAATTTCAGCTGCTAATCCCCACAAATTGCATGTAGCGATGGCTGGCTCTGTTCGTCAGCCATATGGTCGTGAAGAAAGCAGCCGTCACAAGATGTAGTCTGCTCTCAAATCAGACATCTCTCAGAGACATGCTTTTGCACCTGATATCATATTACAATTCTCTGAAATTCTGAATCTTTCAGTCAATTCTGCTGGTATATATGCAGAAGCTGTTTTGTCCTCGCGATTTTACGCACCTGCCTCTGAAATGTACAGTGACAGGCTTCTTGTCTGTCAGAATGAATCTTTACAGCAACGTTCCACGCTTACATAGTGAGTTTCAAACATGGAACTAAGAGACAGAATGTGCCAGAACCCTTGAGACGTTCAGCTGGAACATATCGTCACAAGTGGTTGAACAGATCGTCATCATAATCTTTATATTCCATCAACCTGTATATATCTGTAAATTTCGACGAAAATCAAGAATGTCAACGACGAGCAGACAACAGGCCAGCATATGTCATCGGAGGGTTCGACATCAGCCGAAGCACCACAGCTTAACTTGTAGTGACCCGGTAAAATATCGTGAAATTCTGCACACTACGGTTCTGCGTGCACCTATCATGTCCAACTTGGTGACGTTTCATGAGGTTCTTCAGATATAGAATCCATTTAAGAAGAAAGGCTGAATCTGTCTTCAGCTTGCAATCTTAACATTTTAGCTGTCTTTTGTATTTTGATTTAGGTGAATCTCGTTAGATCTTTCTTGCTAGATGTAGTCTATTCAGAAATAATTAGCTCCATTTTTAATTCAGTGCTCCATATTTAATAACCAGAAGACTGCCGTCTTCTGGTTCACAGCTCGAACTGAAATGCTTCTGATCTGATGCTGAATGACTTTCAAGCATCAAGTTCTCCCTAATTCGGTTCAAATCGTCAATTTGTACATGTACTTCTAGTTTGAGCTGTGGACTCTAAACGGTGGTAGATTATCGTCCCAAATGAAGTCAAAATCAGAAAGCCTACAACACAACGAAAGATATGATGAGCATGAATCTTCATGGAGTCAGCGGTCACATCGTCTGTGCGAACATTTACATTCTTTAAAGTATACTACTATAGATATCTGGATAGACGACATCAGCATCTGTTGTCAGTCAAAAAAGCTTCTGGGTGATGCGAAAGAGTCGACATTATAGATCTATATTCCATATTTTTCATACACTTCCATAAATCCACAGTTAGCTTGTTCAAAATTATTCTGCAAGTTGCGTATCAAAAAAATTGACATTGGCAACTTTTTATATTTTTTCTAGCCAAACATTGTAACCAATTTTTGTTGCTAAATTTTCTGCTTGAAGAACTATTTCCGACCTAAAATGAATGAACCGTCAATGGCACAACCGTCCTCCGAACGATCCATTGATAATTTAATGACGCTGCAGTTTGCAGAAAACCCAAACCCATTACCGCTTATCAAGCCCACTCCTAGAGCAGCAGGCAAGAGCGAAGACACTCGCTTTTAGCTTTCAACAGAGAAAAAATGAGTTTAAAATGACAAATGATGGTAATTTCCTTCATAATTGCCAGATTCTTCATTCCGACTCTTGAATTACAAGCTCAACTTTCACTGCAACTTCTTCAACTTCTGCGCACGCGAGAATTGAGAGCTGGCGAAGAGAGAAGTGCAGTCAAGACATTCAGTTCACAGACAATTAGCTGAATAATTCTCGTCTTTCTGCCTACTCCTACATCTGGAAGAATTTTGATGTTTCCACAACGTGTTATACAACAAATCAAAGCGGGATTGAAGAACGACATTTACATTCTACGGTTACACTCCTCCTGAATCAAGGATGAGACTGAGAACAGATCTTATAACAGATGGATGTAATACGAAACGCTCGTCAGTTCTTTTGGATTACTTAAAGAAGTCTCTTGAAATATTATTCCCAGTAAAAATTTTATATTTATATATTTATCTAGTATATTTTTTATATAATATTGATATTTTAAATTAAGACAAAATTAATATTCACAAAACATGCAGAATACCTCATTCATAATACTAATTTGTTTAACAATGTATCAAGCTAATCTTCTTATAAATCAACAGCTAAATTGGCTGTTTTAGGTTACATTGTTCACAATAAAGACATGCCCAGATTGATATCCTGCATAAGCCACATTGACAACAGGAATATTAACGGACCACTGATTACTGCGCAACCCCCGCGGTAAATGATTAAAATATTATGTATGTCGCAATGCATACAAAGCGTGCAAGAACACTAACCTCATCAGAACATTCACGTGATTGGCCAACCTCAGACCAAGATTCAAAAATTAAAATCATGTCCAGAAAAATTGGCGCAAATTTCAGTCAATGTGCAGTGAAGTAGTAGTCCTTTCGCACATGGTCCGACAATGTCTCTTCTGTTGGGATATTCCTGTTACTGGTGTCAGGGCTAGAGGGATCTGCTGGTCCTGTCCCTCGGGCACGGGCTGCAGTATTGTCAGCTACGACGCTAAGGACGTAGCCTCATGGGCAGGCTATTCAAATATGGCATGGTGCTCGGGCCAGATTTGTCATAAATAATTTTTGCATGATGCGATAAATAAGATAGAAGTCCAAGTCGAGGTTGGCTCGTGACGGGTTGTTGTTTATGAAATTTCGTAAAAAAACTCAAAATCACATTTAATGTTTCTCACAAACTTGAGTATAGATTAAAAATCTTCACGGAAAATCATCGTTTTGTGTAGTTTTTGTCAAATATGGGACCATGTAAACAAAGTTGGACAGAAGCGCAAGTTGATTAGAACCACAAAATTTAAAGTTTCATATTGATCAGAACTACATTCACAACATTTCGAAATCCAACGCTTGGCGAAGTGGAATGATTAGCATGCTTTGTAACTAGACAAATTTTCTTTGAAACTATTGTTTTTGTGAATACTATCCATGTTGATCTTGTATCTAGTGATTAGTTATATTTTGATATCAACGTAAATATCTTTGACACAATATTACTACCTTTTATATGGTTTTATAGTTTATGATTTGATTATCATTGATGGGGAGAAAATTGATTCCACAAAATAGTGTATCAAATTTCGAAATGGATCAAATTTCATGAAACATAGATTACTTTTGAAACTTGATTTTACCAAAAACTTTGCTAGTGTATATATTGGTACTATTTGTGTGGAGTGTGATTTTCCATGATTAGTTGGAAGAAGGATGAATACAAATTGTCTTTAATGGATTTGTCATTCAAGGAGATAATGTATTGTTAGCAATTCAAATAAATTCAAGCAAATTAAAATTGAAATCATATTTGTCATACATATAAATGGACCAATGCGATAATAGACTGAGTCATTACAAATTTGGCAATTGCCAAGTTTGTAGAGGTCTGATATCTTGGATCTTGAACGATGGACACCAGCCCATTATCCGGTTCTAGATCGATGAGGTCGGAGAGAATTATTTGAGTCTGCAGGTTAGACCTTACCCTTCCGCTTCCCCTGCTCAGAACTCAGTCAGGGGAGCAACTCTCTCTCTCTCTCTCTAAATTAATCAATGGACATGGCGTTGCCAACGAGATATTCTCATTATAACCACTGTCGCTTCGACTACCGAAGTTCGGATCTCATCCGGATATGGCGTTCTCGATGTGACTTGTAAGCTCCAGCTCTCTATTCTCTGGAGGCATGGCATGTCGCATGTGTTCCACACTCCGCTGGTCTCCATGAACCTGGACAATTTCTGTTTGCATGTTCTTGTTCCGCAGACATCCGGCATCGTCGGGGACATGGCGTCTGTCGATGGATCGTCGAAGAGGAATATGCAGAATCTACTCGACCTGTCGAACAAATCATTTTGACGTTCTTCAAATGAATATCATGCTTTTGACGTTCAATTGCATATCTCTTCCAACTCACAGATTGAAACTATAGAAGCTAACATTGAAAACTTATATAAAACTTTGATTCAAACTAAAATATTCAGATACATATTCTCGCCTCTAGCAAGAAGCAAGAGTGTGATGATAATGCACAGGGCAACGAAATAGCTTCTAGATAACTATACACACTTACTCAAGTGAAAAAATGGTGGAATTCCTGTAGGAAAACAATGGGGAGTTGGAAATAGGTAAAAATGAAAAGAAAGATGTAATATTCGAAGCAAGTAATAGTAGCAATAAAGTCAGGTAAAATATCAACGGTGACATGTATGGGCAACCAGTTCTTAAAACGTAATCATACATGGTCCCGGGCTCAACATTCTGCCGCCATGATCCCGACTGCAAGCAGGGTAGTCTTCGGTTTTCACACCACGTTTCATTCTTCTACATTCTGAATTAAGGCAGCAGGCAGATGTCCATGCGTGCGAGACGTGAAATTTAACTAATCCATTTGCCAGTCCATTGAGCACAATGAAAACAGAGACACACAGCCAAAGCTGATTCAATACCATTCTACTGGCATTAGATAACCATTTTCGGACGAGATTAAGTGGCAAGAGCTTTTCTGAAGCCATTGGCGTCTGCTGTCCTCGAATAAATGCGTCAAGTGCTTTAGTCGTTCAGTTGCGTTCAGCTTATAATAAAATACGATCCAAGAAGCATCTGCTGATTTGACGCTAGATTGTGTCTCCTTGTGTATCAGAGGAGTCTCCATGGCCCACAGGCATTACATGGGAGGAGAGAATGAGGTCCAGGGAAGTGACGAGGTACAACTGACAGACATGCGCACCACGAACATCTGCTCGCCAGAAGCCGGGCGCTGCGAGATGAGCGAGATTCTCTTCGTGAGGAGAAGCAGATTCTCGATCCGCACAATCGGGAAATAGAGATTGGCGCGTACGTAAGAGTGAGGGACATTAATGGCCCTGGGAGCAGAGCGCAACAATGTTTAACCGCACTGCCAACCTGGAACACCGCGACCATGGGCCGAGGACCGAATCACCAGCGGATCCAGTTTGCTTGGCACAGAACGAATGGATCAATAAAATATATTCATCTCCACAGAAGTACCTACCTTGGAAGTGAAGTAGCTCGGGTACAAGAGAAGATATGACGGCGGCTTGTAATTTGGCGGCAGCGGTGGCATTCAATCCAGTCAAGGTTTCCCCCTCCAATCTCTCTGTATGCTGCTGCTTTGATGCAGCATTCATCACTCGGACGACCGAAGTCAAAGAGTCCGTGGGTGTCAGGTCTCCCAGCGCGCACTCTGAGCATCCTGCCGATCGATATGTCTGTCTGTTTGGCTGGCTCGGCATCCTCGAACTCTGAACTCGAGATCATGAATGCGTGCGATGGAATGAATCGCCGACCTCCACGCGAAGTGATGGGAGCGAGCACAACTAAGACGACGACGAGAGAGAGGGGTAAGAGCTAGGTCCACGGATTTGTGAGTCGAATTCCGAACGCTTACGTTCTTCGTGTGTCGAAACACTCGGGAGTACACACCAAGAAGGAAGAAGAGCCGGAAATGTGAAATTGCTCCGAGTAAGCTCAAATGTCTGAAATGTAGGGCTCAGTATGATGAATAGGTAAAGATGACTGTTTCTACCACTGTCCACGAGTCATAACTTCAGATGCATGCATCGGTGGACGATCCAGGTGTAGCACCAATTCACCTAGGTAGACTCGAGCAAGCACGAGGAGAAAGCATTCGGACGTCTCATCAGGTGATTTTTTTCGTCTCTCCAGTTGCCAGGCACAGCAGACATGGCCCAGCTCATTGGCGTAGCGTCTATCAAGGTAGCATTCCGTTCTCTCTCTCTCTCTCTCTCTCTCTCTCAATCTCTCAAAATCAAACTCCAACTTCAGCTGGGAACATGTATAGCTTGTGCTATATATTATATGGCTACACGATCAGAATCAGGAATCTCCTGGTTGACGAGGTCGTCGAGCACGCACATAAGTTCGACGGTATGGCCTTGCCTTTTTGTCTCCGTGTAGATGTGATCGATGGAGTGGGTGGTCCCCATGCTTCACATTCCCGTGAGCTAGTAGGTCCAGTTGTGATTCGTCCTGGCGGCGGAATTCGAAACTGTCCTTCTCACTTTCTCCATTCACCTACAGTAGTAGAGAAAGTTCTCCTACTTCCTGCTTGAGTACGATGAAATAAAGGCTAAACGAAATAAGCTCACAGAATCAATGTGTGAGCGATGAAAAAAACAGAATTCCTTTCATCACGTTTGAAAGTTACAGGCTCGGACGCACGTGATGTGCCAGAGCCGGCCACGTTGGGATAGAACATGCCATTCGGAAGGTACGAGGATATGAAGCTCAGTGATCTGACTTGAGGGTTTGCCCAAACGTCACGTCTACCGAAGGACGACTCACGGCTTCCACCTCGAGGGAAAAATGGCGAAAATGGGAAAAAAGCCGTCTATCTCATTGCCCACGCACGCACGTCCACATGTCTGACTTCAACCGATCTAGTGCATGGCTAATCAGTAGCTCTGTGGAGTACATAAACGCTCCTGCTGTGGCATATTGAACTTGAAGAGTCGACTGACTCCCCAGTGTCCAACTCTGGTAGTAGTCTGGCAGGAAGGAAGGAAGCAAGGAAGGAAGGGACACGAATTTCGAGCCGAGGGTGAATCTCGAGGACGAGCGGATTCTCGGAATCTGCAGCGCAGATAAGGGCCGGGGAGGGCTGAATCTCGGCAGCATGAAAAGGATTCCGTGGCGATGGCGATGGCAGCAGCAGAGCACAAGTCCGAAGGTGCTGGTTGTTTGCACATCGCTAAATATGACTTCAAACACAGAAGTTTGAGAGCTAGCAGCGAGCTCCGGCTGTGGATCCCGCCATCGGGCTGGCACGAGCTGATTCATCCAAACGGAATTGAACATGACCACATGAATCGCATTGTGCATTGAATGCATCAGGCTCGATACTCACAAAGTTTTCAGGAGCCTCAGGTAACTCAGATCTGGAATAACAACGCTGATCTGGTTGTTGTCGAGCCATCTGGAGAGCAGCGCATGAGTTTTTATGGACGATCCAGTGTATCTCAGAGAAGGCGACAGACTACAACAAAGGAACAGCAACCAGAGTACGAGATGAAGTAGCTTACAGATCCGAGAGCGCAGTCAGTTGTCCGAGGCTCTCAGGCATGGTCCCCACAAGATTCAAGTCCGATATTTCTCTGCGGTCATCAAACTTGCATTAGTCAAAAGACAGATTTTCGCCCGTGCTGACCAGTCAGGCATCTTTTGCAACTCCCAACCACCAGTAAATAGTCGCATGGATCAAAGCCCAGGGGGAATTCGCGCAACTCACATTGTGATCACTCTGGGCGATGATGAGTTGTAGCAAGTGACCCAACTGTAGGGGACTGGAAGGCAAGGATCACCGGCCCACGAATTCAAGCCGAGAGCAGCTTTTACCGAAACCAACGCAGCCACTGCACGTGTTGCCAGGAACAAAGCAATCCATCAGAATTTCTCCAGTACATGTAAGAGGCTCTAGCTCCTCATCGTTCCTCCTATTTACTCGAGTTTGCTCGGATTTCTCTCCAATCAAACTAAAGCCTGGCACACCGAGCTGAGAAGAGTCCAATAGTCACTATTTCGTGATATTCTGCAGGACCTCTCATCGACATTGTGGAATGAAGAATGCTGACAGAATCTCATATCCCCGATCCTCATTCTGCTGCATAAACCTGTCGACGCTGCTTTCCTCACTTTCAGAGATGCGACGGGCAGGAGATGCGAGTTAACATCGACGTCATTGGTTCTCAAAACGACGACTGCCCTTGAAGCGTAGATCTCGGCGGCGTTGAGGAGAGGATCGAGAGTCGCATTAGGCGGAGCGGACAGAGTGAAATTGACACCTCCGGTGTAAATTTCAACCTCGGTGTTGACCAACATACGTTTCTCATTAAAAGAACTGGTAGTGACATCGACAAGCCAGGGTCCCACGGAAAATTGTTGTACTGCACATTCAAAAACCTTGTATCGGTAGCGTTCACGGTCTGGATCTCGGCAAAAAAACAGATGCGTGTAGTAATAAGCAGTCCTCTGCAACTCGTACTGCGGAATGGGAGTGAACCACCACACAGTGGAATCAAGCCACGCAGTCTGCATCACCACCATCGGCGGCTTGTCAAAGTTGTCATCCGTAACGACGATGATTCTGCTCGATTTGGCCGGGGGTTCGGTGTCAGAAGGCCCGGGCGTGCTCCACAGTCTATCATACGGATCTTCAGGGTACCTGTCGAGCAGCGAGACACGATCAGCTCGATTCCTCGAGGCGAGATACTCGTGACAAGCAGACTTCCATATCTTCATCCATTCGCTGGGGAGGGGGCGATTAGAGGCCCCACCTGACAGAGGTGCCACAATTCAACCTGATTATATTCTTAAGGTATTTCCCGTCGTGGACGACATCGTACATGCCGGGAGCAAGAGGTCGAAGCTCCAGGGAAGAGATAATGGGCGGTCCGTCCACGGGGAGGAGGCAGATGTCGATGTACTCGGATACTTGAGGAGTGTCGACCTCGGCCGATGTGATGTTGACGGTGTCGGCGAGGTTCGAGTCGATGGACACATCAAAGCTGTACTGGTCGGACGCAGCTTGGAAGTTGGAGTAGAGGAGCATGGCTCTCAGGATGTAGGACGAATTGTAAACAGCCGGCAGAGTGTAGCAGTGCTTGCTTCTGTATGGCGAGAAGAAGCGCAGGCTCTGCATCTGTCGCGCATTGTCATTCACCGACGCCTGCACAGCTTTGTTCTTCCCCATGCCCACGAAGCCTTCGTCGGTCGTCCACACGAATCCCGAGATCGGATCCGTGAAGTTGCTCGTCGCTTGGCAGTCTATGCTCACGAATCCTGCACCCACCATCACCGACCCCCGTTATTAGCACGAGTCCGCTCAATGTCGCTCGAATTGGCCGACTCAATCCAAATCCAAAATTCTCTCTCGTGCCACTTCCTGACTCCCCCCACTATCATCGAGGTCGAAAAAATCTCCGCCCACACCAATCGGCACCCAACCTGCTAACGAACTCATCCGACTCATCATCTCATAATTACCATCCTCTTGAGCTGCGGCGGAGTTGAGCAGCAATGCCAGCATCCACAGCAGGAAGCCATGTCCTCTCCTGAACCGACTAATCGCTCCTCGTCTCTCTCGACGGTTCCGCCACGGAGGGTCTTCGCTTCCTCGCACTCTCGACCTGAGCCCGCACTGAACTAAATTTTCTATCTGCTACCTTCTATCTTCTATCTTCTACCATCTAATTTTCTGATCTTCCACATGCTCTGCTTCCGTCGCTCCGCATAGTCGAGCTGTTCGCGGCATCCCGAAGCTCAGCTCAGCTCGCAAATGAGCCTCGAGCCAGCACTGGGAAACGGAAACTGGGAGATGATCCGCACCATGAATGCAGTTCGACAAGTCGGATCATCCACACCGATCGATCGTCGCTCACAGGATAAATCGCCCCTTTGTAAGTTGATGGCCCTTTTGTCACTTTCTCCGGCCCTTGCCGTCGACTGCTCTTCTATATTCCCAGTTCTCTGCCCCCACCGAAGCTTTCTTGTAGGCCCCCAAAATCATGATAACACCGGCCAAGCTTTGACTTCAGAGGTCCGGCCCCGCGTATCTGACTCTCTCCATTGTACCTCCTGTCACAGTCGATGAACTGTCGATGGATTCGTGAACCGGAGCTGAATTTCAGCTCGCTCATCAGAGTTATGAAATCTTCTTCTCTAATGCCAGACTGATCTCTGATCAGAGAGAGAGAAAGAGAGAGTGTGTGTCAGTCTCTTCTGAAGAGAGGGTGAATGAATATTAGATGTGGATTGTGGACGCTTAGAACAATGAAAAACATACAGAAGCCTTTTGTACCCGGCCACATGCACCTCCACATGACATTTCTTGTGTGAGAACATCAAACATTGGAGCAGAACTAAAATCCACGTAGCATTGCGACCTTCCGCCGCTAGTGCTAGATTCAGTCGATCATTCCTGATCATCTTTTATTTTGCGTTGTAGTGGACTCGAAGTACTGGACAAGCGAACGGACCTAGCAATTTATTAAATTTAGCTTCTATACGGTTTGATCTCATAGGTTTCAAACTCCTTAAAGAAGTCTTAACTACCTTATTGAGCGCTGCTATTTCTCAGAGAATCACTACAGATCTCCGAGAGGTAGCAGCGTGCATGAGAATCCTGCTCATTGCAACCGACAGAATATAAATATAGATGTATATATATATATATACATCTATATTTATATACATCTATCTCTATATATATATATATATAGAGAGAGACGAACATTATGTTGACTATATTCTATATGCTCGAATTGAAAGAAGGGAGAATGTTCAAAATATAACAGGTCGAAGTGAACTACTTAGAAGAAGACATCCAAGATGATCTCTTCCTGTGTTGAAGAGATTACCTCTGCAAATACATATCCTTGCCTCGAGAAGCTAATAAAGTCACGGCCTCCCCTCCCCTTGCTCAATTTCTGTAACATCCTCATAACATTGCTAGCATGCTCCAAGAATCTATGCATACACTTGTAATAACCCACCAAAGGCTAAAACTGCAGTATGGTGGTAAAAAGATCGAACCCACAGGGACAGAGGCAACACACAGAGTAAAAGTGTCACGTTTAACAGACTTTTGTAGAGTTTGAATTCTAGGCGACTGTCACTCCCAGAAATACTGCAGTGCTCGACTCGGAGGCTCGGAGGAGGATCTCGACTCGGAGGATGCTCGGAGGATGCACGGTACAGCGTGGTCACTCAACACACACACACACACACACTTGAAACTGGCAAAAGCACAACTCGGAGGTCGATCAAGACCTCCGCTTCGGATTTCAGGAGGAAAGTGTCTCAAAAGTTCACTCAGAGGTTCTGCAGGTAGTGACTCCCACTCCGGCTTTTACTGCCCTTCCGCCAGGAACTAGCGTAGGGTACCCGGACTGGACTTCCCACTTCGGAACGAAGCCTCTTCATACGCCGTGGACGTCACCCTCGACTCTCACACCAAACACAGGGAGTGCAGACCCGACTGAGAACTTAACTGAGACACGATCCAGTAACACACACACAACCTGAATTGCAAACCAAGGCTTACACGAAGTAATAAAACTTCACATTGGCATTCAGGGGAAACTTCCCGTAGGAGTACAATCAGGATATGTCACTCGAAGGAGTAAGGGGGAACTGTTCAAGTATCTAACTCGCAGCCGGCTCTGAGCATCAGAAATCACCCGCAGGTGCAGATCCGCACTACTCAAGTCTCTAACCGGGTGCTAGCTCTGAACATTCAGCCGAAGGCCTTCAACTACAACATACGGTAACTTCGCTATACTGCAGCTTCTCTACGTGGTGCCAGGACCAAAATGCACAAACACGTCAAGAAAGTGAGTTCCTGATCTGCACTTCCGAAACTGGAAGAGTCCCAAGGCAAAACGCCTTGATCTACTTTATACCCTCAAACGTCCTAACTAACACTATGCTATGCTATCTACTACTCGCAACATCTGCGCGAAACCAAACTATACTACTGCACTCGGCGGATCCGGTGCTGCGCCTCCTGCGCGCCGGACTGCTCCGCTCGCTGTCTCTACCTTGCCAGTCTTCCGACCGGCTGCGCAACCCCAGGCGTCGGAGGGCTGCAGTGACTTTCGACTCTAAGTGCGCCATAGCGTCGCGCGCACCCGACAAGAAGGTTTCTAATTTCCTCGCTACTCGCCGCCGACTCCGACTGTCACCCTCCGTCAATGCCGCCGCCCGAAGCTCGAACTCCCTGAGTGTGATCCTCTCTTGAGCTGCCACCTCCCAATGGGCGTATCCTTTTAGGCAGTGAGTCACCCGCGTCGTCAACTCTTCTCGCGCCCTGCAGCTGCCTTCTACCTCCGCCAGCTGCATTTCTGCTTCCGCACGCTGCGCCCTCAAATCCGAGCACTCGGATTGCAAGTTGCGCAACAACTCCTCATCCTCCTTGCGTATTCTTTGACTTTCTTCTAAGACGCGCGTCTGGCGCGCAAGCTCTGCTGCTAGGATGCGGTTTTGTCTCCGCTCTTCCTGCAATTCTGACTCGATCTTTGCCCGTATTAGCTCGGCCTCCGCCTGGCTTTTCGTCGCTGCATCCTCCCTCTGCTGTTGCAAGGCTTGGTATAGCTTCTGTGTGACCGCCAGGTGTTGTCGGAGGGTGGTGTTCCTTTCCACATATACTTGGCACCTAGAGGCCCAAGTGGCCACCTTGCTCCTCGTCCTTCGCTTGATAGTCTCCACATAAGACTGCGGTTTTCCAGTACCCGAGTACTTGGATGTCTTGCGATCCAGATATCGAAGGAGAGGGACTATCTGCTCGCACAACACCCCTGTTGGCGTTTTCTGCACAGAGTCCGCTTCCTGCTCTTCCGAGCTCGTCTCATCCTCAGTCTCGAGGATTTCAGTCGCCATTGAATCCCTTGGCGACTCCCTGGAACTGTGGCGCGCAGCAGCTTTCGCTGCGACTGCTGCTCCACTGCCTGCTAAAATATCCAGGGCAGTGGGGGATCCCACTGCTTGAGCCCCTGTTCCGGCTCGATCTTCTGTTTCCGAAGGGGTCGACGCCGCAGTGACTCTTGTCACCTTTGCACCGCCCGCTTCTGCTGCCTGCCCTTCCGGCGCAATCTGCGCGGAAGGTGTCTTCGCTGAAGGTGCGTCCGCCGAAGGCGTCCGCACACTGGTCGCCGGCCCTGTCCGTCTCGCAGTCGGCGAATCCGGCCGACCCTCTGTTGACCGACTCGCAGTGGGCCGACTAGCAGTTGTCCGACTGGGAGTCAGATACACCCTGCGCGTCTTCACTCCACTTGGCCTGCTTGCTGGTGGCGTTTTCCCAGAAGTGCCTTCCGCCGAAGACGACCCTCTGAGGGCTGTTGGCTCGTCAGCCAAACTCTCTTCTGCTTCTGGCCTGCTGTCCGGTTCAACGCGCCGCTCAGTTGGCCTTCCTTCCGCTTGTCGTCCTTCAGTCGCCCGACTCGTAGTCGGCCGACTGTCAGTCCGTCCATCTCCTTCCGAAGGCATTGGTGCCTTCTGCGCAGAGGTATTTGTCGACTTCCCTAGAATCTGTGCGATTATCTCCTCCTGCGTGGGATTCCGCCGGACCGGAGTACGCCCGGTCTCCTCAGTACTAGTTGGCATTTTGCGTGCCCTCTGTTTTGGTCGACTGTGAGGCTCGTGGGTGGGCCGACCACGAGTCGGCGCAGCTGGCACTTCCGGCTGCCTGTCCTCAGGTCTCTCATCCCACTTCCGCTTTCGCGGAATGCACTCACTTCGACGTTCTTCTGCTGCTCTTGCTGGGGCCGGAGCCGGAGGCGGACTGGCAGGTTCTTCGTCCGGATCCGTGTCCACTTCGGCCTCCCGTGAGTATCTACCTGGATAGCTCCGGGTCAGCAGCGGAAACCGTGTCCGCTCTGAATTTGTCAAACAACCCATCGCCCGATAAAACACAATCAAGTAAGGCGAAAGATGATTGAGGGTTCCTCCTTTCTCTTCTTGCGCATGTTGGCGCGTCACCTTCCACAAGAGTCGTGCCCAATGCACTGGAGCTCCTGACAACACTAGCTCCACAAATTCTACCTGCCAACCATGCATGTAAGCGGTCTTGGTCGGCTGCAATATCTGCAGCAATGCAGTCGCGACATTTCTCCGCAATCGATCTTTGTAATCCCGTGTCCGGAAACCGTTCTTGGGATGCCTGGCAACTTTGAAGAGCTCATTGTAGGAGATTTCTTCCTCCTGGGACACCTTCACGCTATCGGCCTCGAAGAGGAGATCCCCTTCCTCGTCGGCACACCTGCCTAACACCTGCGCCCAGTTACAAATGTCCCATCTTTCTGGATGTGGACGGAATCCGCGTGAGGGCTTGTGTCTCTCCTGCAGATACTCGCGCACCATCTCCGGACATGTCCTGTTCCACCCCCACAGGAGGAAATCGAGCTTCAGCCCCAGCAGCACATCTTGAAATGCGCGTAGACCGATCTGCGGCACCCTGAGGGGAGACACTCGTAGCTGGAGAACCTTCGACATTGCGTTACCTGCACACACAAACGTTCTCCCTTTCGCTCGCTCTCTCACAATCGCCACTGCGCGTCGGCCGCTCAAGCACTGACTGCTCACTCTCTCTTCGCTCACGCTCAAAATCGCTACTCGCAATTCTCTCCAAGCCACAACAAATCTTACAATCTTCACTATTGGAGTGGGCGATAATAGTTACAGTAGCCAACTTTGTTAAACGTGGGTGCATTCGTTGTCAAGTAGCATTGCAACGGGTCAAGAAAGTCTTTGTGATCCACCAAAGTTCGGTTCAGCTGAATCGGTATCTTCTAGGTTGAGTTGTGACATTATTCCACAGGTAGGCTTAATGCTTGCGACATGCTTCATGTTCATAGAAGGTGAGTAGTGATAATGGTTCGCTGCATGTAATAACCCACCAAAGGCTAAAACTGTAGTATAGCAGCAAAAAATTTGAATCCACAAGGACAAAGTTAACACATAGAGTACAAAGTGTCACGTTTTAACAGACTATTGAAGAGTTTGAATTCTCAAGCGACTGTTACTGCTAGAAATACTGCAAGTGCTCGACTCGGAGGTCACTCGGACGACGCACAGTGCAGCATAGTTCACCCCAACACACACCTGAAACTGGAAAAGCACAACTAAGAGGTCGTTTAGGACCTCTACTCAAGGTTCAGGGAGAAAGTTTCTCACAAGTACATTC